CCCCAAAACCCCAAAACCCCTCAATTTAGTAATAGTCATATTGTGAGAGAAAAATGAATAAAAATGTCTAGTTTCAAGTGAATTTATTAACCAATAAAATTTTATATATATAATAAGGTTAGGGTAAGTAATCAACATTGACTTTGATCTGGCTTCAAAATATACTTTATATAACTAAAAGGTCTATTTTTCCTTGACTATGAATGCTCAATCGATCCTGTCCACACCGAGCTATGTCTCTAATAGCGTATTTAATTGGTCAAATTTAGTTTTAAGCAATTGTTCGAGTCTAGTAATCCTTTCAGCTTATCTGTCGCATTTTTCCTCTAACCATTCCATCTTCTAATTTGAGACTTTTTCTCTTAAGAAGGTCAATAGTTTGTAGTTATCTGCATCTAGATCATTCAAATTAAGATTTAATTGTTCATCTTGAAAGAAAAGAGAATTATAGTGCGACCAGACTTCGTTAAAAGAAATTTTGTCAAGATATCCATATCTATCTACCTCCTCTTTATAACTCTCTACCAGTTGCTTTTTATTTATAACATCAATAATTTTAAGCTCAATTGATTTCTTCTCAATGTAATCATTTGTTTACTTTATTTTTTCGAGTAATTTTGTGAGCTCTTTGAAATCAGTCATCATGGAGCTATTATAGTTTTGAGGATTAAAAAAATTATCTTCTCCCTATCCAATGAGTTTTCTATCTAAGCATTCAAGTACAATTTTATATCTATCGAAGAACTCATTTGCTTTTGAAACTAATTCTTCAGCCTTTTCTTTTGCTTATTAGGATGAGTATGCTATCTATGCGCATGCATCGTGGATGTACACTGGCGCATGGGCATGAACATTAATTTCAGTTCCTGGTATTTTCTTCTTAGAACATTCTTTGCAGTACAGAATCCTTCCTTCACAACCAAACAAACATACATGGATTACTTTGAATTGAGCATGATCATCACAATTAGGCAATTTGTCAGCTTACTCCTAGGGAAGTCCCAGAATATTTTCCAAATTTGATATTCCAACAATTGCTCTGTTTAAGTGATTCTGCATTATTATTTAATTAAATTATTGTTGCAATTATTTAATAATCTATAAGTTAATGCAAATTGCTCGCTAGGGGTTTTGGGGTTTTGGGGTTTTGGGGTTTTGGGGTT